TACTCAGGCGAATATACTGTTTGACCAGAGCTGTGCTGGAAACCTTAAAGTATCTGCAGTATGGGAGACTTTACTTCCAGTGGAAGTCGTGGTACAAGAATGACAAAAACCGTGAACATTATGAAAAGGTATGTTAGGAAAAGTTGCAAAGAAAATGTGTTGGATTCATCGATGTGTTTTTTAAGTGTCTTTGAACAGTAGTGACATACATTTCACCCAATATAAAAGATTAGACTGATATGTTTGTCTCAGTTTTCACCACTATGTTGTCCCTAGAATATGTTTGCAATGGACAACCAAAAATGTGTCAAAGTTTTGAAGTGTCTTGACTTGACTTAATAGGGCATCACATTTGGCCGCCGAGGCAACAAGCTTGACTTGTACCACCCTCCAAACGTGGACAGATCTAAAGATGTCCCATCACCACTGGTGGTTTTCATCTACGGGGGGGCATGGGGCTCCGGAGACCGATCCATTTACTGTTTGCTGGCCCGGCAGATGGCTGAAGAACTGAGTGCTACAGTCATTTGTCCTGATTACTTCACCTATCCAAAGGTAAGTAGTGTTATTGGCATGACATTGGCATACGATTATGTTCATTGCAATATATGTTTAGTGTGAATGACTGCACTATGTCCAATTTGCAAATATCTTTGAGCTACTACTGTATGTAAGGACTTTACTACAGTAACCTAAACAACGGATGAGAACTATACTTTTAAATGAAAGTTATATCTGATTGGACTGCTGGTTTCCTGTTTTCCAGGCAAACGTTTTAGGGATGGTTCAAGATATTGCTGACTGCTTGATTTGGGCTCGAGAGAGTGGAGAAAAGTTCAACTTTGACAAAGTAAGACATATCTTCAAGTGTGCTTTGGACATTGAAGACATTTGTTGGATCACAATTGTATTATTAATGATTTAAGGAAAGGCAAACATATAAGTTGGTCATTAAATCATTGAAAAGTGGTAAGCAGCTCAAATGTTACTTAGTCCAATCCAATTGACCACAATCCTTTTCGTGCATGACATTTTGGAGCATGGAGGATGGGCTCCGTTTATCTGATAACCCTCATTCTGAGAAAAAAATTGACCTATTTCACTTTCAGAAGCACTGATCCTAACTGACCAATCTGCTCAATTTTATCACATCTAACTACTGTTGTTTTGTTAGGAAACACATCTTTACTTTTGCCATCATTCCGCGCTCGTTAAAAATTAACATCATGTTCAGAGATATCAGAGACGATGTTTCTAATCATGTTGTCCTCTTTTTCTCTTTAATAGGACAATATAGTGTTAATTGGTCATTCAGCGGGTGCACATTTGTGTGCACTGACCACGTTGTTTCTCATTGATGCAAGAGAAGAGCTTTTCATAGAGGTCAGCATTCAAAGGGACATCATACTGGCAATAAGAGGAGTTATTGGTAAGAATCCCTCTGTCACAGTTAGAGCTGTGTTTTAAAGTGTGGAAAAATCTTCTTTCATCGATGTATAAAAGCCAAAATGATAATTTAGTGGCTTTTGAATTGCTGTTCAAGTGATTCTTCTGTGACTTTTAGATGAAATGTTTTACAATAGGCAATGCTTCAGTAAGCCGCCTCCTTCATATTTTGGTTAAAGTGACCCCCCCCTTAATTCTTGTTCAGGTCTGAGCGGTGTGTACAACATAATGGACCATTATGAGCACGAGCAGAAGCGGGCAGTCGAATACGTCTCCACCATGCACAAAGCCATGAACGGAGTGGAGAACTTCCCGTATTATTCACCAACACACATACTGGAGAAGTTCAGCCAGGACAAACTGAGCAGGTGAGGCAAAGATGAAGATTTTCTTGATTCCCAAAATGTTCTTTTTACACCGTTTCCAGAGTCTGGATAGAAGAAAAAACAAGCATTAAATGTAAATGTAAAAACAAAATAAGATCAATTATAAAAACAAAAGTGAAGAAAATAATCTCCATGTACAAATTGTATTTATTTAAATTAGGAATAAGATTAGCATTGTTGAGGAAAATGGCACAAAATATTTTACAGCACATGATCTGGAGCATTTTGATAAAATCACTGTAAATACTGCAGAATATTTTGCACCGTGACATTTGCACAGAATAATTGCATAACATGAAAAAAGAAGACTTGAGGCAAAGTGATATTTAATTTAACAACACTGATGATATTCATGGCGTCTGTTATGTCCGGCAGAGTCCCTCCATTCGCTTTGCTACACGGGACCAGTGACATTATCGTTCCAGTTGAATCTTCCATGAAGTTCTCTGAGCTCCTCACCTCACTGTCCATAAAGGTGTCGCTCTTCCTGCTGCCCAAAGTTGACCACACTGAGATTGTCACCGACCTGATGGCATCTGACAGGCACTTCTACCATCCCATCTACAGCTGTATCAAACAGGAGTACAAAAGACTTTTGGGAACCTACTGATTTAAGATGTAAATCAAAGAACTATCATCCATTCAACACTTTTGTCTGCTGATTGCGCAAGGATATGTTTACATAACTATCTGCTCTAATACCTCAAAATGAAACCGATTACGCCTTGATTTAAACATGGTTCCTTTAACTTGTGATTCCATATTTTGGATTTATATTGCTGTGTGATTATAATGAAGTCAATTCAGGAGCTGTATCTGAATAATGCTGAATCTATTTTATGGGTGGGGGGATTCTAAATGGACTAAAATAATAATACTTGATAATGTTGTTCTAATATTTAAGTAGAGAGATGTTACCCAGAGTAAAGTGAAGAGAAATAAGTACAGCTGAAGTGAACCCAGCCAATGACAGTATTATGAACAACATGTGAAGCATTCTTTCATGTAATGTTGAAATGGGAGTTCAGGTAGCAGACCTGAATCTCTGTTCCTGGACCAACTATGATCTACTGATTAATTATTAACCTGTAAAATGTTTCCAAATCAAAGTTTTCCTGCTTCATTGTATTATCTTGAATAACTATGTATTGATCTCAGATACATTAAACCTGACTGGACAAATGTATTCTTCTTTGGTCTTTATTAACTGATTTTAGTCACTTTGACAAGATGTGACCTCACAAAGACAAATCCTGTTTATCGTAAATAGAACAAATGTATGCGTTAAAGATAGAAGCAGGATGATGATGATGAAACATGATGTTCAAATTATTTATACCAATTTAATCTGCGTTTTTTTTTCAGCCATGTCATTTTTTAATTGTAAACTAAGTGTGTATACAGTGTGCATCGCAGACCTGGCAAAAAATATGAAATTGCTATATTTATAATCTTCTTTAGAGGTGGCGATGTGTTGGTGGTGAGATTCATAAAAAATCATCTAAAATTACTGCTCAAGTAGATTAAGCCATATACATATTTATCTACTTCTAGGCCTTTATAAATTGTCAAACCACCTCTTAGGAATTGTGTAAAAATTAAGGGGGACAGAGGAGAGCAACATTTTATATGTTTGTTTCCTTTAAAATAAACATTACCCTCTCCTTTTTACCCTAACTTTTGCAATACCCTCCCTTAATGTGTAATAACACGATAGGCTATGCTTGTGGATCATTTGTGACAGTATAGCCCATATAGTTTTTAAATAATACGTGTCTTCACAAACTATAAACTCAAAAGAAAATGCACATTTTATTGCTTATTGGGGAAAAAAACCCTCAATAAAGAGAGAACTGTTTTCCACAGTACACTGACAGGCCTCAGGGACAATGCACGCCCTCCACTGTGTCACACTGTGGAGTGATATGTGTCAAAGTCGCCTTTAGGGCGCCCCCCCAGTGGAGTCAAAGGAAGGCAGGGCCATACAGGCGTACATGCTAGAAAGCTGGTTTGCCCTTGCCCCAAAGTGCCTCTGAATGGTTAGATAGTTCACACTCCCCTGTCTGTTTTTATTACAGAGCTGTTCTCTTTACTGATGCCCCACCGCATGCAGCTGCTGCCTTTTTTTTTTGATTCTCTTACCCCCCACCCCTCAAACAACCTGAGTCAGCCCCTGTCTGCCTCTGCACATGACCACACACACAGACAGCACATTTAATACGAAAGGAGAAAAACAGCCTATAGGCTAGTAGAAAAGTTAGCATTTCGATTCTCTTTTTGTGTTAAAAAAAAAAAAAAATCAGCTCTTCACAGCTAAGAGGTAAACATCTATGCAAAAAATTAAAGGACTATAATTTAATGAGATGTTTTTTTTTTTTTTAGCCAATGATAGAAATTGTTATGGCTATTAAAAAAAGAGAATCGTTGATATTCATCAGTCAATTTTCCATCCAGAGAACACAGTCTATTTTTATGGCCATGTTTGTCACTATAAACATAATCTACATATTTTAATTTTCATATCATAGCATAGCCTACTCTTTTCACATTATTAGGCTACTTCTGAAGAGCTTTAGAATATCATTATTATAGATTGATAATATATCCTCAGGAAAACTGCTGTACTGCTTCAAATCCAAAATGTAAACAAACCTATAGCCTATTAGATTAAAAAAAAAAAAAATGAAGCCTTCATTATAAACAAGTTTAATATAAAGATCACGCAGTAGACTATGAAACTGTTAAATGAATAATGAATGGTTCTGGGATTATTATGGCACTTTCCTTACTCCTCTTTTTCTTCTTTGTCTTCTACTTCTTCTGCTGGCTTTTATTTTGAGACACACACACACGCACGCACGCACGCACGCACGCACGCACGCACTCACACTCACACACACACACACACACACACACGCACACACACACACACACACACACACACGCACACACACACGAGGCGGAGTTAAGCGAGGACCTACAGCGGTGTCTTGTCTCAGTCCAGGGTCTGCCGCACAGCTCCCCTCACTCTCCGCGTCCCTTTGTGGGAGTCTCTCCACTGGTTGTGCGTTTTCTCGGTGGCGGAGCGTGAATGAGGGAAGATTCCGCCTGTAAATATGTAACTTTCCCACTCCGGCCAACAGCAGCGTTTCCACCGGGAGAAGAAAAATGGACCCTGTTGTGAAAAACACCCAGAAGAAGAAGTTGTGGCTCCGCGGTCTGCTTTGGTGGTCGCTCCTGCTCGAGGCGGCGTCGGGAGGTAACGATGCAACTTTTCGACTTTTTTTTTTTTTTATCAATGAAAACACACAGAGCTAAACTCATTTCAGCACCTTAAATGGCCTTTAGTTACTGCCGAGACTGCGTCCGTAAATTGGTTAACTTCAAAGAGTTTTGGGCTGCTACAGACATAGTTTGACCCTGACTGCTTCTGCAAGCCTTAAAGCAAGCTCTTCAATGGTCGTAGCTCAAACAACTCACATATAACCATTTAACGGTGTGTTGCTACGGTAACCTACTATTTCTGTAACATCATGTAGCCTGTGTGTCCTTAAATGTTAGTGTCACTTTACAGAGAAATGTCAATGTCTTTATGTGCTTCTCAGATCTTAAACAAAACAATAGGAGATGCATTTGCAATCTTTGTTAGACTATCTAATTTTATTCTATTTTTATTCTTTGAAAGGCACGATTCTACGACGTTATTTCAATTTAATGAGTCTTATAATCACACCAGTTGTTATCTTATGTTTCTGACTTTAATCCGTACATGCACAGTGCACTTGCAGGATATGCAGTGCACTGTGTGAGCAACCACCTTATCAGAGACAGCAGCAGACACTGGGATGTGATGTCTACTGTACTGGAAGAATTATCAGACTGTGACAATGGCACACTCACATGAAATCCTAGAATTGACAGTCATCTTTGTGCGGAGAGAAATATTTTATATTGTTGAGTTAGCTTCAGATGTACATTTAAATCCACGCAAGCATTCATTCGCCTCTCTGCTTGAGTTGGTCCTGTGCATGTGTCATCTGAATTCAGTGTTCACCCAGGCTTTCCCCCTGTGGATAATCAGGCATTATCTCACCATGACTCACCCTCAACGTATTTTTCATTGAAGATAATTACAGTATTGACATTTGATTTGGTTCAATGCATGTCAGAATGTGTTGCATTCCCTCTATTCCTGTAGCATTATGAAACCAGCCAGTGCTGCAGCACCCACGTCCAGGGTTTTGACAGTGCGTCAGCATCAGAGGGAGTATGACAGTCAACAAAAAAAACCCAAAGAGGCACTTCAGTCAAGTTGCATCTCTGATTTGTTCTATAAACTGAGCACACAGGCACTGACATGCACTGGTCTCTCACCCCTCAAATTAACTGTGAGCTGGTGTTTGCTCAAAGGTCACTGCTTTTGTTGTTGTGAGAATGGTGTGTGAAATCCCCCCAAAAAATGTCCCTTTCCTGCTGACATGAAAGTACCCCTGCAGACATGTAGATTACAGAACAACCTCCGAACACCTCCTGTTTCTGCTTCTTAAGGCTCGTGTGCACACGGGTATGTTTATGTGTGGGTATTGTTTTCTGGCACTTTACTGTGCTCTTTCATTTACATCCCCCCCCCCCGTTTTTTTCTGAAAAGTCTTTGTTGAAGCAGATGAGTATGAAAACCATTCTACCGAACAACACCTAGTTTATCTCCAAGAATCGTGCTTCCTCTAGGGGAGTGAACTGTGGGGTAAGACCCTTTCGGTTTAACTAAACATGATGTTCTAATCACATGACCTGAATTTCAAAGAAACAATGGAAAAATACAAGGGAGCATGCATGTGCATCCTTCCTTGTGAATTTAAGGGGAAAATGTTATTGCATTCCTCTTGACAGTTTTAAGACACTTTTCTTCAGTGTTGTGTACAAAAAGTCAGTCAGACGAATGAAAAAGGACAATAATTCAGTCGGTCTGACTCTGGGTCAGAGAAAGAAGAAGTCATGCAATGTGCCTGTGGGCAAATCAATTAGATTTATTTCCAACTGTGTTTAATGGTTCTTAATGGCACATTTCACTTGACTGGTCGGTTAATGAGAGCCAATTAAAAGCCATTAGCAACCCAAATGCCCTGTAGCCATTTAACCATTTCATTTAAGGTGGTATGTGCACAACAGTAAGAATCACGTATTAAAAATATGTTTTTATACTTACATTAATGTGAAGTTTCTGTCAACCGTCCTGATATTGGGTTTGAATTGGACGTGGTAAGGCTTGGATTCATTTTGTGAAAATGATGCGATCATTTCTGTAAACCAATGATTAGAGTTAACACCACAGCAGCCTTTTATATATGTACACCCAACATCGGCATCATCTGCAAGTGATGACACGGCTATCTGTTTTTGGTGGCAGCACTTTAGTATGGGTTCTTAATGGTTTCTTATGGTAATTCATAGGCAGTTATTAAGCACAACCAATGGGAGTCCAGTTATGTCATAATGTAGCACTGACCTATACTACAGAGCATTAGCATCACATTCAAAGCTTTAAGAAAAAATACTGGCAAGTCATCTAACCTTGCCTATGATTGCTAAGTAGGAACTATTTTATGGATAGCAAAGCATGCTGTAATTCAACCAATAATGAGTTTCTCTTTCTGCCAACGATTTAAGGTTGAAACGAGTAATTTTTTTAAATTTTTCTGTTTGAGTAACTGTTAAGATGACAGAATAGAACAGTGAGAAAATTAAATTTGAACCTGAATTTAACTACACACATTAGACAGTACACAATACAGCATTTTTTTGTGTAACATTTGTTTGTATATGAGTCATCGAGCAAGCATGGCTCTTTACTTTAGCACTTTTAAAAAAAATATAACCATTCAATGTAGGAAGTAGGAACTAAACATTATTTCAGTAGAGGGAAGAAACCAGATTTATTCAGTGTCATCTCAATTATACAGAACGTTGGAACGAGTTGGCTGTACACATTAAAATTTTCGAACCAGTGATTATTAAGCTCATTTTATGTTGACAGTCATGTTTTTCTTTTGGTTTTGTGTTACAAGAAGATCACTGTTATCCTTTGTGCTCTGGTTGAATTATGTAGTTTTCTCTGGAATCATTCCATGTTGATTGAAGGCTGAATATTGATATGGCTGAAGGGCTTTGCTGGTTTAACGACGTTCATTTGTACTGTCCATAAGAGTGGATTTAGTCAAGCAAACTTCCCAATTCGTGCATTAACCCTTTTAACACTAAAATCAATCTATAACAACATCAACTTAGTATCGCCAGACTGAACTCCTACTAAAGGGTCAATCGGCCCCATTAGTAGTTTTTCCGTTCTTTCCCTTGGTCATTAACTACAGATTAAGCAAATATTGCATGGCCATGTTTCCTAACAGAGCCAACAATGTTTGTTAACCTTTGACGTTGCGTGGGACTCTGTTGTGCTCATTAAAAACTGTACTGGTGCTGTCAGAGAAGGAGGCTTAGATGAGAATGCTTCAGAGCGCATTAGCCCCGATTACAGGGTGATGCGAGATGGCTGGGAGGTGACGTAGAAGAAACAGCTGGGTCCGTCCGCCACACTCTTTATGGAGCATGGGGCCACAGACAATGTGGGGATGTCAGAGCCTTTCATGTTCAGGTTGAAGGTTCCTGTCAGGGCAGGGAGGGCAGGTCTTGACATGTCTTAGTCCCTCCAACCCACCTACACATCCCCTGTCTCTGTTTGTACACAGCTGTTGTGGCATTCTAGTCAAATACCTTTACAATTCAGTTTTATCAGTCCCACCGTTTTGGAAAGTGAATTTCTCCTACAGCTAGAAACCAGCAGAGGCCTTAACCTGCAATTCTGCCACAATGCACAAGCGACCGCTTTATTCGATCCTAAAGGTGGTCATTATGTGTGTGCGAAGCTTCGATGCATCATAATTGCACACTTTTTCAATGCATGTTTATCATCATGGTTTAGCACCTAAAGTACAAACACAACTGGCCCACCTGGAAGGCTCAGCTCAACAGATCTAAAGAGAGTTACAAACATCCTTTTATATCAGGTGAGGTATAATTTATGCACCCTGTTATGAAGCTCTGTGGGTGTGTGTCAATGTGTGTGCTTCCCACAAATACACACTCTGCTCCACTTGCAAAGAACAGCCAGAATGATAATTAGCCTGGCTTTTATATCTAAATGTCACATGTTGGCTATATTAAGACCACAATGCTTGACTTAACTTGTTCTGTGTTTACTGTTTTCTCTTCTTTTGTACTTTTTGTTCAAGTGTTTCTTCATACTCAGTTTGAACAAGTGTTGGGTGTTGATTTTCTATCCTGCAAAAGAGAATGAACACCAAATGCTATCTTTTTTCTAATGTCTTGTTCTACAGCTTCCTTCTATGGCGATGGCTTTGTTCAGCTTAAGGCAACAGAGTCGTCCGACCATAACACTCTTCGCATTAGCTTCCGAACCTCAAGCACCAAAGGCCTGCTGTTTCTCGCCGCTGGCAAGACCGACTACTTCCTACTAGAGCTCCATGCTGGTCGCCTGCAGGTGGGTACATCCATAGCCCCTATACATAAGCATATGTGTTCAAGCATACATGAGCACACACATGCATATATGTTCAGAAGTAAAAAAAAGAAAAAAAAAAGAAGAAAATACACAGATCTTGATCACACGCACGCATAATGAAACAACACACACCCTGACCACCTTGAGCTATTGTGCCATCTCATCTGACAGCATCAGTCTCTCAACACCAGTCACAATAGAATTGTGGTGTTTGTTATTGGGATAATTTGTGACTTGATCAACTGACATCTGCCTTCGGCTGCCAAAGTCCAACAAGATTAAGACATTTGTAAAGCTGCTATAATTTTTGGAATATAGTCTAATGTATGACAGGTCGCATCTAATACTAGTTTTCAATATTTAAAATAAACAGTCACATATTCAAATGTCTTTTTGTGTTGTCTAATAAGCAGATCAGGGACGCTGGCGGCACAGTGGTTAGTGCGCACGCCCCATGTATGAAAGCTGTAGTCTACCAAGCGGGTGGCCCGGGTTTTAATCCAAACTGTGGCTCTTTCCTGCATGTCATTCCCTACTCTCTTGCTCCCTGATTTCCGACTCTATCCACTGTCCCATCTCTCTAAAATAAAGGCCCAAAAAGCCCAAATTAATCTTTAATAAGCAGATCAAATATGTATTCATTTAAGATAGAAATTTTGTATTTGACAAGCAAGTAAATGATTATTAAACTTATCCTGTCCGTTCTCTTTTACTCTTATTGTAATTGATATAAAAGCTGATATAGTGAGGCTTTTATGTACTTTATTCCATTAAGACTTAGTCATTAAAATCAAAAAATAATCGATTGCTTGAACAAGCTTACTGTAATTCACTAAAAGGTTAAATAAACTGTCTAGTGTTAACCAAAAATCAAATAAGAAACATATGTATAAGTTAGAGGACAATCTATGGTTGCTCATATATGACAATGGGCTTTCAACACAGAATATAATTTTCACAACACAAAATTCTTAAATTACAAAGTCAGAAAATATGAGAAGCAAGCAGCAGTTCCAAGTGAAATTGTGTGCGTGCAGGAAAAAAGACTTAAAATGCCACAATATTCATCTGGTTCTTAATTTAGAAAGAATCATAATATGCAAGAACACACCTCCGGAAAATAACTTTGCTTCTGATTTAATGACAAAATAAGTTTACCGTGGGCACTCTTCAGTGATTTAGTGGGGTTTGTATGCCAAGTTTGGTGCACTTCTTTCACTCAACACACAAGCCTTCCTGGGATGACTTGAGGTGAAATACATTAGTCCCTTCAAGACTGCCTCTAAAACATCTCGTGAGAAGCTCTGCCAGGCTAAATCAGCATACAGAATGAACAGATGTTCTGTAGAAAGCCTTCGTAATATGCAGACACATTCTTAAGAAACACAGAGTCTTAGGATATTCGTCTTAAACATCAAGCTGAAGACATCTATGTGACTAAGCCTCTTTATTCTTTATGTATTACAATTGTGCTACTGAAATTGATTCATAACAACGACTGTGTTGCACTGCCGTACTTCACTGAGCATGCTTGTCCTTGTTCCTTAAACTGGCACAGGTCACCAATTTTTTTGTTTTGTTTGTTCACTTGCACAAGTTATCCTCGGGCTTGGGGTCTCATTCCATGTGAGTCAGACATGAGCGTCACTCCCTGGAAACCCTCGCATGAATAGCAGGGACTCAGCAGCAAGCCTTGACAAGCATGTCATCTGAATGCAGAATTAGCTTGAGATGGTGACATGATGCTCTTAAGAATATAGCTGGAGGCCAACAGATAATAGTTCTCTTCCTGCCTAAAATCACAGGAAAAGAAGACAAAGATCCCTGTTACTGAAATCTGTGACACCATATAATATAAGCTATCTCAACCCTCTATTTCCCTTTTCACAGTGTCTGCAGTGAATCATTTAATTAATAATGAAAATATATTATTAGTAATAAGACCACCAATTATTGTATTTAATAGGGGTCGGCCAATATTGGTTTTTCAGGGCCGATTGCAATACCGATTATTAGTAGTTCATGAGACCAACGACTGATAATTGAGACCGATATGCATTTACAGTAACAAAAAAATCTTTGCACCGAGACTTGAGGGTTGAGTGGCTATTACTTAGATAGACATCTAGCCATTCAGATAGTTTTGTGGGAGGGAGATTAGGTGAGACAGAGTAGGGAAGCCATAGTAGCACACTTTGTTGAATTCATTTTATCAGCAATCTGTAAAATGATCTGCAATATAAATAATTGGCCAAATGGCGAATATCAGCCCCCAATAATCAGCCGATAATCGGTCAACCTTAATTAATAACATTTTATTATATATCTTTTTTAGCATACATGCAATGCTATGCATTTTTCTGTTTGTTTGTTGTTTTAAAAAGGGTTTCCTTTCCTAACAAAAAATTGCAACCTGTACACATGTGTATACATGCTCATTTTCTACAACTTTGGTGGAGTTGCTGTGAGGCTATAAAAGAGTCTAAGATATTATAAGAAGTATATCTAAGTTGAGTTAAGCATGATGATATAATAATGAAAGATCAACAAGGGGGACATGAACAACTACCAAATTTAAAGGCAGTTGATCCAAACATTGTCAAGACATTTAGCTGGAAGCCCCAACAGCCATTGGCACTGCAAAAAAAATCAAGATATGATTTATATAGTCATCAGAACTGATAACTACTTGGATAACTGATATAATCATTCATTTAAATAATCAGTTTTTTAATTGAGTTGTCTTGTTTCTTCTCTTAGTTAAAAGTGGACCTTGGATTGGGGGAGCGAGTTTTACATTCAGACAGTGGCACCCAGCTCAACGACCTGGCCTGGCACTCAGTGGAGATCAGCCATGTGCAGCAAGATGTCACTCTGACTGTAGACAAAAACTCTCACACAAGTGTAAAGATGCCAGGCTCCCAACATGATGTCAACATTTTGGATGGTCTCTTTGTTGGAGGCTCAGGAGGCCTAGACAGACCTTACCTACCCAGGGACCCCGTCGGCTTCAGAGGCTGCATGGACCACGTGGTCTTCAATGAACATGACCTGCTGTCATCGCTAAGGCCATATACTGGATTTAAGAACATCCACGAGGTATCTCTAGGCTGTAGTCCCCAATTCTTTGCCACTGAGGAAGACCCGATCAGCTTCTTCAGTTCCAGAGCTTACATTTCTCTTCCAACCTGGAACGCCCAGCAGGTAGCAACATTTGAGTGTGTTGTGCACACTTCAGCCAAGGAGGGAATTATATTGTACAACTCAGCAAGAGAAGGGGACTTTGTGGCTATGGAAATTCAAGAAGGCTTGCCAGTGGCTATCATTGGTAAAGGTGGAACCAAAACTGAGCTTCGTTCCCTTACATTCATCAATGACGGGAAATGGCATTCAATCAAGTTGCATTTCAATTCCAAAAGCCTGGAGCTAACTGTTGATGAAGAGATGGTGAAAAACAGCATTTACTCTCGTTCAAAGGGAATTCAGTTTAAAGGTTATCTTTTTGTTGGGGGTATTGATGACAGCACCAGATCAGAAGTCAGAAAGATGGGTCTTGTCTCTGTTTCTGGAAAGCGCGTCAGAGGAGGTTCCTTCAAGGGATGTTTAAAGAACATTGAAATCAACAGAGCAAAGATGGGTCTCTCAAATACTGTAGTAACCAAGGATATTTCAGTTGGTTGTGAGCCAGAAAGGGTACCAGATCTATCATCTACTGTCAGCCCAACAAGTACTCCAGCTTCCCTTTTTCACATGTTGACACCAACACCATCCCTTTACATGTCCACCCTTGCAAGGGGTTTGGACAGAAGGTATGGCTCAAATTTTATGCAGCTCAAAAACCTTGTGGTCCAGGAAGGTGGTCGAGCATCTCTTGAGGCCAAACACATAAAGGTACTCTTGGACTTTAAGAAGCTTGGGATTCGACAGTCTCAGATCATGTTCAGAATTCAGGAGCAACCTGTTCGTGGTCAGTTAAGGCTTGATGTCGATCAGGAACAGGAAGAGAACACCTTCAGCATGTTGGATCTTTGGCATGGGCGAGTAATGTATATCCATGGAGGCTCTGAAGAACTGGATGACTTTTTCATGTTTTCAATTTATTCTAGTAGTAGAAAGCAAGTTCCTGATTATCTCAAGGACAACAAGATGTACCGCTACAATATCACTGTGACACCCACCAACGATGCACCTGAACTTAGTCTCCCTGAAGGAAATCTCTTTGTTCTGTTGGAACACTCAAAGAAACGCCTCACCACAGATGTTTTAAAGGCCACAGACATTGACAGCGACTACTCTAACCTTTTCTTCTCAGTGCTTGGGAACCTAAATGCTGATGCAGGATATTTGGAAATAGAAAACCACCTTGGCAAGGCAGTGACCTCTTTCTCATATTTAGACTTGGAGGAACTGAGGTGTGCTATGTTCACACAGGGGTTCGAAACTCAAGGATAGTTTTTAGAGTCAGTGATGGAGAAAAGGTTAGCAACACGGTGGTTCTAAGGGTCATGGCTGTTGCTCTGGAGTATAAGATTGCCAACAACACAGGTCTCCAGATCGTTCAAGGAGAGGCTGCTATTATTGGTTCAAAGCAGCTGGCTGTGCAAACCAATGCTGTGAAACAAATTGTAGACATCCGGTATGATGTTATTGAACCCCCCCAGTATGGAGAACTCCAGAGACTTCACTCGAGTGGTGAATGGAGACTGACTGACTCTTTTTCTCAAAGGCTTCTAGAAAAAGACAGACTGAGGTATGTTAGCTCTTTTCAAGAAATCCAGACACTCAATGCCACTGATTACTTTAAGAGTAAAGTTACTGTGGCTGCGAGGGCAACAACTGAAATACTCTTCCCAATCACTGTGAAATGGGTGAAGTACCACCTGGTGAGAAATGTTATGTTACACTTGGACAAAGTTAGAAAAGTGACACTGGACTCTGAGTGTCTTCTTGCCACAGCTGAAGGTGGGGACCTCTCAGAGGATGACCTTTATTTTCGGGTTCTGACCGTACCAAAGAAAGGGAAACTCCTGTTGGACACCACAGTCTTGGGAAAGAACTCAACCTTTAGCCAAAGAGATGTCACAAATCTGAAAGTACATTACGAGCTAGTCGACAGGCCTTATGAAGATACAAATGACAGGTTCAAATTTCAGCTGGTTTCCAAACATGCTCAGTCACAAAACTACGAATTCCAGTTTTCTATCAAAGCTGACGTCAATAGTGTGTTTATGAAAAATGATGGACTCTCCCTTCTGGAGGGAGAAAGTAAACTCATCACAAAAGAGGAACTGTTTGCAGAGACTTTGAGCACAAAGGATATGTACTACACTGTCATCAGCAGCCCCAAACATGGTAAACTAGCCCGTATTAGTCAGTCCAATTCCAATGCTAGCTACAATCACATCTTAACCTTTAGTAATCAGGACATTTTAGAAGAACGGATCATGTACATCCATGATGACAGTGAAACAACTCAAGATGAGTTCAGTTTTATTGCCTCCACCAGCCAAGGCTTTAAATCGTCCATTGCTGAAGATGGAATTGGCTCTAAAGAAGGAATTTTTAACATAACTATTCAGCTGCTCAATGATCAAAAGCCTGTACGTGTTATTGATAAAGTTTTCCATGTAGTAAGGGATGGACAGAGATTACTCACTATAGAGGATTTGCGTTATCATGACGCAGACTCTGACTTTGATGATGGCCAGTTGATTTACACTCGACGTGGGATCCCAATGGGAGACCTGGTGCTGGTTAATGACACCACTCATCGACTGTTCCAGTTTCGACAGAAAGATTTGGAAGAAAAGAGAGTTTTGTTCACTCACAAAGGTGTGAGCACTGGCAGGTTTGTGCTCTTTGTCTCAGATGGTAAACATTTTATATCAAGCCTTTTAGACATCAGTGCACATGACCCTTTCTTGAAAGTTGGCATTAACACTGGCCTACTGGTTCAGAAGGGCCACTCAGTAACCTTCTCTACCAGCAATTTTAGTGTGATAACAAATTTGGACATCCGAGATGACCAGGATGTCATATACATGTTGGATGAGGCTCCTAGGTATGGTGGACTTTATCACAATGACACTAAGGTGGAGTCATTCTCACAGTCTGTTTTTAAGGATGGGCTGATCTCGTACAGGCACCATGACAGCAAACATTTGGCTGACTACTTCAACTTAACAGTGAACGCTAAAGGCCTTCGGCTTACAGAGAAGATCAAAGTCAAGGTTTACCTGGAAAGTCATCAGAGGCCACCTATTGTGCAGCATCAAAACACATTACTCGTGGAAGAGGGGAAACCAGCAAAACTTGATGAGACTATACTGGAGGTGAGTATGTAATTACAGGGACAGATTTAGAGTTTTCAATCAAAGTTCATGTGAATCTCCTTTCATATTGTATGATGGATGTTTTTAAGGTTTTCTTGTTCACACGATAAGGTTTAATTTTCAATTTGTGTATGAAAATGGGTTACAATTTTCGGATCTTCCACAAAATGTTGAGTATTAATTATGAAAAGATTTAACTAAAGATTTAACTAAAGAACCTGCATATTTTGTGTATATGTATATATATATATATATATATATATATATATATATATATATATGGTGTCGGCTAAGAGACATTTGGCAGATTATCTAACCCATAAAAAAAGGAAAATATTATACACTATGATTTGTTTAGGCTGTTAAAAGGATAGAAATGGAATACCAGCCATTCTGCAATGATGCCACATTACATTTATCATCAAATGAAACTGACTTTTAGTGACACATGGAACATTTCAAATTTAACCACTGAATATGTTCTCTGATTGATGCAGGTCACTCATGAGGACAACCTGCCATCTGAGATTGTATTCACAGTCACGGCAGCCCCATCTCACGGCTTTCTCCGGAGTTTTGTGGAAGCCGAGGAGCGCTACATCGGAACTGAACAGTCCCCTGTCAAGACATTTACCCAGGAGGACGTTAACAGTGGGAACATCCAGTACATGCAGGTGGAGCCCAGCAGAGTCAACGACACATTCATCCTCCATGCCACCAATGGGGTCACTGATGTCACTGACATTAGGATGTCTGTTGACATCATCCCACGCCTCATCCCACTTCAGGTCTCTGATTTCACACTAAATGAGGGAGCCTCGAAGGCACTGACCCAGGACGTGCTCAAAGTTGTCAACCGACACTTTTCTGGAATTAACTTCCTGTATAGTTTGACTGATCCCCCCAAGCATGGACACATTGAACACTCCCGACACACCGGTATACCCTTAACCTCTTTCAGCAGGAGGCAGGTAGGTTATTCTGACAGTAACTGTTGAAGTTTTTATGGAAAAATAGAAATGAAATGGCAGCTGAATGAATGATAAATAAATTACTTCTTGTTTAAGACCCATAACTAACACTAAAGACACAGATGTGTTTTTATTTTTTCATTTAATTGTTTAGGGAAGGTGATATTTTCTCATACTTAACTAAAACCAACATTTTCAATGCTTGTGCCCTCAGAGCTCTAATTAAATAACTGTGTATATTAGGCCTGGAATAGTTTATTGTAGCTGATTAAAACTAGTCAATCAATGGAATGATGGAAAAATAATTGTATGTAGTTTTTCATTTTTTTTTTTTTTATCATGCACATACCTAGACACCAGACCAACATTTGTAGATATTCAATCATTTTGAACATTATTTTTATAGTAATTGTTTTCAGGCCTACATGTAACCCAGTGTCTTCTTATCTGTCATTTTACACATTATATTATCTTAGATTTTGGCCCTTTCAACTGGCTCTTTGACAATATTAGTTTCTCAAAAATGTATTCATACTTATTCAGTTTTAACACAAATTGATTCTAATTTTTATTTCCCTAGATTGACCCCCTTACTCTTAACCTAATTCACCTGGAATATTTTCACCTTGCTCTTTTTTGACTGTATTCTCATTGTCCTTATTCATTTTACAAATATGACATGGCAAAAATGTGTATATGTTTTTTGTCTCTATTCAAAAGAGAAGATCGAAGCACCATTCGAGTGTTTGGTTCCTCTCTGATTTGCTAAATCTTTTCATCTTTTATCTCAGGTTTTTCCTAATTATTTCCGCCATGTTTAATCAGGTGGAGCATGAATTTATTTACTACGTGCACGACAGCAGTGAAACCTCATCTGACAACTTCACCATAGTGGCAAACGACACAGGCCTGAGGAAGCAGAGTGCGGCACAGACGGTGTACATCCAGGTTACAGCTGTGAACGACGAGCCTCCTGTTATTAAAGCCAACCGGGTCCTCAGGGTGAGTTTGCACTGCTACTCTATATTTAAACACATTACTTTTTTTAACTCGCAAGTCTGGCACCATAGCTTAATGTCAGACAATTTTCATGTGGTCAGTGTTGCGAGTAGCCATGGCTGGTTGGATGACGGAAACTATGTTTGCTATGTGGAGGAGTGTCCTGGGGGGCCGGTCTGCAGAGAACATTTACAGTTAGAGATGCCTGGGACTTGTCCAAAGGTCTGTTATGGTTGTAAGGTGTTGACTGTTCAAACAAATGACCCTGAGATCTAACTTTTTGGTTGTTTGGTTGCAAAGAATGCTGCTTTTGTGAATTGACGAGGGTAATGCCATCTTGCATAGGTCAGTATGACTAGAATAGCTATTTTAGACAGCTCAAGAAGACAAAAGATTTTAAATCAAATGGAGAATAACCGCTTGGCATTTTACAGTCACAAGGAATGTGCTGCTCAAACATATGTTGCTTTGAATTTGTCCAGCATCATCCCAGTGTGGAGTTACATGATGACATTTTGTTGAAATTGCAAGAACTGGTTATATGGCCTTGTTTCAGTTCAAATTCCTTCACTACCCTCTCTGTCCCTTTCCATATAAACCCTATTGGTTATTTACAACCTTTCTGTTCAAGAAGAAGCAGTAATTAAGTCTGTTGCTCATAAATTTGATGGAAGTAGTCATGCGTGTCTATGTACTGAGCAGTGCTGACTTGTACAGTGTCGGCTTTAGTGGCTGGAGTTGGGCGAGGTCCAGCTGGAAAGAGAGGCTGAAGTATAGCTCTCTATTGTCTGTGCAGCTTTGCCCTAAATGCCTTGAATTCCTCTGGGATTCTGCAGACACACCGAATAGCCACTTCTTAAATATACCGCACTGATGAACATGAGGAAACCGGTTGAATGCAAGTAGTTTTAATCAGAAACCCTGGAGCTGTTTGTTGTTATAGTCACAGATGAACGGGTCTCCACATTAAAGACATTCTGTTTAGATCAGATGTGATCGTTAGTCATTCTGATTTGTTTTGAAAAAAAGTAATTAAGCAAACGAATTAATGGAGTGATTTTAACAGACAGAAGCTTCGAAGTGCTGCAAGTTATATAACACACAGGAAAGACGGCTCAAAACTATAGCATGCTATTAAAAATGTGCAACACTGAACACAGTACTCAACACAAATACACAATTCAGACATAGAATGCAGACTGTCTGCAAGCAGATTAACCAAATGCCTGTCTCAACAGGTCTGTTTTAACTGATTGCTGAGATAAACAGACACTGAGATGTATGGGTGTAAAGGAAATTGGTTCTCCTTGTCCACAAGGGGGCTCTCTGCCCCTGCACTTCATGTTGGTTTTCAAACCTTTACTGTTCACTAGACCTGCAATTTTACAGGTCTTCTTAATAATCACATTTGTGTTTTTTGAAAGTTGTTTTGAATTTCAAATAAATCAATTAATCAATAAATATGAGTAAAAGAACAAATATGGGATAAAGAACAATGCAAATCCAATAAAATGACACAAATATGAAAAATAAGAGGTGAATGTCTTGCTGTCAAGCTCAACCTTGAGTAAAAGCCAACGCAAACGGATGGGTCTAGAGCAAAGATTAAAAACTAGTGTAGACTGTTACACAGTTTATGAGCAGCCACCATAAAGGTTTCATCCTGGATCTAGTAACATCTAAAATCATCCGGTGTGTTAGCCGCAGTGCTCTGACTGGAGCATGTTGGTGCAAAAAGTCAGACAAATATGAAGATGCCAGCCAATGTAAAGTTTAGAAATATGTCATACAATCTTAAACTTTATCCTGAAGCTTACACTTCTGATATTATATTTTTAAAAAGACGTTAGGGAAGGATTTTTGTGAAGGATCATTTGTGCCACAGAGATCGTCCGTGTTGTATTATATTTTTGTAACTGGAAAATGCTGAATAAACCCTAAAAACAACCCTGAGTCAACTTCCAAGCAGGAGGAACTAATCCCTACAGGATAAGATACATCTGTGTTAGAGAAACAAACATTACACTAATACCAAAATATGAGCCTTTTTCCACTGTATTCATCTCTTATGCAACTCTTACTGAAATACAGAATGTTTGATCTGTTTCTCTTTTCCTAAAGTCTGTGTCAGACATTTAGAAGTAATGCTATCACAGTGCAACCTTTTAGTATAGTCTCTGTTGGTTTTAAAAGATGGTGTTCAGCAATATGGAAGTCTCAGGATTTGAATGTGGTACTGAAAGTCATTGAGTTGTTAGATTTGATTTAAATTGCCTTCCTCAGTCAAATTCCCCATTCTCAGTTTTCTATTCTTCTTATATGTCCCTCTGACAAGCCACATGTTTTTAAGTAAAAAAATATTTCATAAAGAGAAAAGAGAAAACACTTATTATTATATCGCTCTTAGAAAAAGATGAGGTAAGCAGTCAAGACTCATAGGAGTTCAGAGAGGATCAAAGACATTGTGAGGTTTCTTTTCTTTCACTTAAGCTGCCTCCTGATGAGCAGCAGACGCCCCCCATGTTTGAGGGAAGGATCTGGACTCAAAGCGCAAATTGATCTCTTGTGTCTTCTCTTTGAATTTTGTGAGTCACGCTGATCATCAAACCCAGTAAACTGATCGTGCTGTGAATTCCTGTTGGGGGATTGCTGTTTTGTTGGAGGCCTAGTCATTTCCTGCTAATGAACACTTGTTAACATGTGTGGCAAGTGTTCTCATATGGCAAGATGTGATGCTGTGAGAGCGGTGTGATGTGGGGGGTGTGTGTGTGTGTGGTGGAGAATGTGGTCTTTAGAGGTGCTTATTGAAAAAATAACCTGATGCTTCTGTTCCAGTAAGTAACGCTTAGAGACAAGTGACGAGTCAGCTCCCCAACAATTACCTCAGCCTTTCATTTTTGTCCTTTTAGGGTCATTAAGACTCCAAGGTCACCCCATATTTAGTGGCTTTTAAAGGTTAAACCAGTCCTCAGGTTTTACCTTCCTCTTATGCATGCGTGTGGCAGACTATACACCCATGCAGCTGTTTTGCAGAAAAACACTTTTTTTCTTCCTCTTCCCCCTGCAATTTTCACTTCTGCAGTTTGGTATCACTGACATCGCTCACGTTAACCAAGCGTCAAAGATTAGCGCTGAGAACCCTCCATTACATTTACCAGCCTGTGAACACTGAGATGCCTTGATCAGACCCTTTATATTAAATTCCCCACATCTTGTGGCTACTTGTGGCTTCAGTACGACCTTTAAACATCTTGGAAACATCTTGGAAACATGCACTCATTTGTAAAATAAACTATTGTGACCATAATTAGTATGATATGCAAGAAAACACTTAAACCATGACCACCACCAGACCAACCAGACCGGACTAGACCACACGTGACCACATCTTAAAACAACACATTTATGACATGAAAGCTGCTTTAACTTTCATGAAAATAATTGGTCAAATTAACACGTGTAATGTGTAAGTTATGCCTCAAGATCTGCATCTTGCCCCTCGTTTTTGTTTTCTGGCTCAGAACCTGAATGATTGTGATTTACTCTTATGGCCCTCACAGCAGAAACTCTAGCCACAAATAAGTCAGAAATGTTCAGGAGTAGGTAGAGCCAAAAAAAAAAAATGAGCTACAGTGTTAATCTTTACACCATTTCTTATTTAGTCATAGTCTCCTGACGAAAATGTTATTGATTTAATTTAGTCAATTGATCACTGATTCAAATTGCACATCATTTTAGTTGATGAAAATAGAAGATATTTTAGTCAACAAAATCAGACGCAAGCTTTTATATATATTATCAGAAGCTCCAGGGGGCGAGGCTTCACGGACCTGCAGGCTCCAGGCTCCAGGCTGCACATTGTTGCACTCACCACACACGCACACCTTTGATGAAGTATGCTATGGTTTACAATGATTTTAGAACAGTCCTCACTTGTAATGTAGTTTTCGTTTCGTCACATTTTCGTCAATTAGATGATGAAGTAATATTATATATCACATCGTCAAATAGCGTCATTTATTTCGTTGACGAGATTAACACTGAATAATAAGAGAGAATATTCAGCACGTGTCAACATTTTTGCTTCATATGACCTGATGGCTATGAATAACCATCTTTCTGTCAAAAAGTGTTGACAATTTGTTTTACGACTGCAGCGGATTGGACAATAATACATCTGTATCTGATCTGTAAATCAGAGTGTAGCCAAAATTCATACTTAACAGATAAACCAATAAAAATAATGAGAACACTTGTGTCATGGGAGTTTGTGGGTTTTTAATTAACCTCAGTTTGACAACCACATCAGGCATGAAAAGGAAAGTTGTACTTTTTTGAAACAATTTCAATCACAAAAAAACCCACAATATGTGTTTGTTAAAGAACAGAATAATAGAGGGTGTTCTTAGATTTCCTTATATGTCCCGTCATGTCCCATATACTAATAGGAATTTAAAACAGAAGACAGTTTTAGATATCAGCGTAACAAAGTAGTTTACATTACTATTAGCTGAATTTGATTTAGCTGAATCAGCATCAGGGTCTCACAGCATAATGGCTCACTGTCACAGCTGCTGAACTTAGCCACATTCATTGTATTAGTACTTTTACTTCTAAAGCAAATCAAAATGTTAAAAAAATTATATTTGTGTCCCAGCCTCCCAGTCATTACTGTGGAAACCAACCTGTGTGACAGACACTGGCATGTTACGCAATAGCTGCTATGGCCTGCAGTACAGAAGCTCATCCTTTGTTGTCAAGAGTCTGCATGCTTCAGCAGTTTTGTGTTCTGTGTGTCAATGAGTTCCTCTGTTCCTTCGTGTTAGCTCGAGGCTCTTTGAATTTACATTGAAGCAGGACCTAAACTGTGCCTCGCCAACACGCCGCAGTTCATCCAACTGTGCTTACAATCTGCACGGCTATATTTAGTCCTGAGATGTCCTTCATTTTAAATGATGTTGTAGAACAGGGCTTGAGTGATGCTCAGAGTGACATTTTGTTCCATAGGTTGTTTTTGACCTCAGGTGCTTCCGTTAGAGATTATTCTTATAGCAGCTCTGCGTCTTTGGATAAGACTCTGTAGAGTTGAACATGTTGTGATAAAAGTAGAGAGATGAGCACCAAAAGCATCCTGAGTCCAATGGACGAGGTGTTCTTTCATCAACACACTCTTTTCCGTCTCTGTATCCAGGAAACCTGAATTACTCAGATTTATTTAAAAACTGGAAATGAGCTTTACTTTAAAGTCCTTTCCCCTTGTGTGACCAAACAATCGAGTATTTCATTTCCTTCCATCAAAGTAAATGTCAAACCCACATTTGGCTGTCATGTCGCGTAATGTCAAATAAAATGTCTCTGTTGCTATGTCCCTGGAGGTCTTTGTTTTCATGTAGGATTACAGATGGCACCTGCTGTGTCCTTGTCCATCTTGTGTCCAGGTTTGGGTGTCCTCTGTGACTGAGATCCGGCCGGAGGATCTGAGAGCGCAGGACCTTGATAGTCCCCCAGAGGAGCTTCACTTCATGGTAACCCCACCCAGCAACGGACACCTGGCCCTGAAGAGTGCACCCATGAAGGCTGTGCTGAACTTCACCCAGGCGCACGTCGACCACGGGCAGCTGCTGTTTGTTCAGAAAGGTAAAGATCTCTTTCAGAAATACAAATCCTACGCAACAGCAGTGAGGCCAGAGATTTTTTTTTGTAACCAGGTAAGGAAATACATTTTGTGATAAGGTTAACCCAAAACAAATCACAAAAACAGATTACAAAGGTGGTGCAGGAGAGGTAAAGAGGCCATAGACTAAAAGTAGACAGTCAACCCTGCCCTAAACTGTGAGTTATTAATAAAATGAAAAAAAGTGTGATTAGTTTAAAGAAGAACAACTAACTAAAAAACAGCATAACATTAAAAAAACTACAATTACTTCTATAATTGTAAATGTTTTGTATCTTTGATTTAAACTTTTCTAAATAAGTAAAATCTATGTATCTTATAAATAGAGCTCGGTGAAAATGGTACTTCTTTTTTTACTTTCGATGGATTTCTATGATGATAAAATAGTTTTATCATGATGTCATTCTGCTGATTAAATGAATATGATCAGTGATGCTGATTTATGAATGAATCTTACCATATTTTAACTGAAGCATCAGAAAAGCAAATCTGTATATATATATATTTTTTCTGATTTAAATAATATCATTTACATGAAATGAGGCATCAGCAGTAAGTAGTTCTGTTCTATGAGCATACATTCACATGTTCCTTTAAATATTGCAGTATTCATTTCAAATCATGATCAGTATATTTTTATTCCAGCATGCACTTCTGCCGTTATGCCGTGTATTAGTGCGTTTTCTCAGTTAATGATAACTTGTTGTTGTTGTTCCTCTTGCGTCCACTAGAAGATGCAGTTGAGGATTTCATATGCTTTGAATCTGTGTCTGCTCAAAGATCAAGTTTCTGCTCACTGCTCTGATTCCTATCTACATTTTTCTTTTCCTGTACTTGTCCTCAAGGAAATGTTGTGATAAAGGTGTGAGGGTCTCACCCAGCACTATATGTTGAGGAATGAGTATTTCTTAGAGGAATGGGAATTTCAAGCTTGCACAGCAGTTTTTGCTTCTAGACAAACTTTAGGAATGCTGATCTGCTGCTTTTTTATGTGTTTCTTTTTTTTCTTTGCAGAAACCAGAAACAACGTATTTGTATATTTGAATTAAAACATACACTCAGAAAACTGAGACACGGTTATTATTTATTCGCTGCTGCAGACCAAATCTAACAGGTTTGTCTCAGGGTTGATTTGAACCTTTTAAACTTTTCATTGAATTTTCTGTTTCATCGCATATCTAGGTGCCATGTCTGGAGGATTCAACTTCCAAGTCAATGACGGCGTGAACTTCACCCCCAGGCAGATCTTCAGCATCACTGCCCGAGCCTTAGTCCTCAGTTTAGAGAACAACCGTCCTCTGAAGGTGTTCCCAGGTAACTATGAGTAAGCTTCATGAACATGAAATAACAACAGATGTCTGAAAATCTCATTAAAACTTAAGTGTGGTAGATGTGAGACTTGAAGGGGACTATTTTTAGCTACAGATTAATACACAGTGGTGTTACAGTGAGTATTTACAGCAGCAGGAGGGTGTATATGGATTAACTTCAAAGAACTTGCAGTGGAAATGTTCTAAGACATAACTCTTCAAGAGAATTGGTGTGTCTCACAGGTTGTGTTTTTAGGTTTTTGAAACATTTAGGCCCAATACAACAAAAGGACAGGCTATTCATGGCTACACATACAACACATCATGTTTTATGAATTATTGTGAATTTGATTTATATGTATTCATTTAATTTGTTCACAGAAAAAAAGCACTGTTTTGTAGTTTCCATTTAGCAAGCTTGAGTCATGATGCAGCTGGACAGTTCTACTATTAATACCCATAAGCAGAGAAGTCATTTCCTTTTTTAAGTTCCTTATAAGAGTTTTTTTTATTCTGAGAATGTATGTGGTGTTTGTGACACCTCGTCCTTAAACTTCTGTGTATCTGCCGGATCTAACCTGCTTGTAAGTTCAACCCGACTGCAGTCTCCTTCCAGAATCCCTTTGGTTAGCTTATTTAGACATTTTCAACAAATCATTACTTTACACAAATACCAGACTGGTGCGTATGCCACTGTTAAATGTTTTGATGTTCTGTAGTATACTGCTTTTAAAACTTAAGGGCTAAAAATAGGTCGGCTGGGTGTTGTCTGTGTCTGCAAGTGCATTTTAAGGTTTTGTGTGATTTCCAGAGGTCTAGTTTGTGAGTTAGAGGGAGAGGATGCTGTGAGGGCAGAAAACTGCCAACTGGCACACTCTGCGGAGCTTCCCAGCCACAGGGTGAGTGGGTACTTGAAAAGCTGTGCCACTGTCTGACTGAGGCAGCCCTGTTTGTTCTTAGTGCCAGGCGGGGCAGAGGAAGGGGAGCTTTAACTGACAATAAAGGGTTTTGATGGGGTGAGGGGGGAGATGAAACACTTTCTTAATGTGAAGGTAAGATTAATCTTTTCCTCCTGCCTTGCTGAGTCCTTAAATGTCGGAGGACTCTCTGTTAAATGATATTAACCGCCTCACTAAATGTTACCATGTGCTTCATTAAGGGAAGAGTGTAACCTCAGAGCACTGTCACGGTAAGTTGATGGTGTTACCTGCACATACCTCATTCATGTTTTAAGGACATTTAAAAAAAAAATTGTCAAGCCCTTAATGAATTTACAAAACCAGTTACAGAAAACAAGGTACTCTGTATCTGCATGAAAAAAACATTGGCTGTGTTCAGTTAGAAAAGAGTGGTTTCCACAAAACAAAGGGAAACGTTGTTGTTCTAAACTTTACGGTGAAGCACAAAGTCAGTCGCCATTAAAAAAAAAAAGTTAAAATAACAGTTTTTCTCAGAAGTGTCTGCATGTTTTCATTTCAGGCTGGCAAAGCAAACTTCACAATGCAAAGAGTCAGGTTGTAGCCTCGGAAATAAAACTAATAAAGAGATAAACCAGATGAAACACATTGCTGAGGGAGAACAGCGTCACCTAAATGAGTTTGTAATGTAAATTCTCTCAGTTCTATGTCCATTATTTGTCTAATCTCTATTATAGTTTACATTTTATTAATGTATTATTTACCCATATGCTTAAATACAAGATCAGTGAATATCTCTCATGTCGATCTTATCTGTCTTTGGAAGTAGTATCTTGATTTTGTTACATTTAAATATTGCAGCCTTGAATTAAATTATACATGACACACCACTTTTACATGCTGAAGCAAATATCTAACACTTTAAATAACCCAATATTCTACAGATTTAGAGCCAGATAGGTCTTCTTTGTTTAAAAAAAAAAAGCCTGTCTCTGCTTCTTCCTGGAAGGGGGAAATTTCCCACGAGAGACAGACAAGAAGGGTGGGAGTACTCACGAAAAGAGATGAATGCATTTCACTGTGCTACGACCCCTTTTTCCCTATATCATTGCCTTCAATCATTTATCAGCATCCTTACAATCTTGTCAGTGTCAGAGCTGAGGAAATCTATGTAATTGTTTCTAAGAAGAAAAGAAGCTCTCAGTAGTCAGTCCCTGTCACCATAGGCAGGAGATGGTTCTGTTTACTTTTTTCCCAAAGTGGAAGATCACTGAGCCTTCAAGGAGCTGATCCACTTTTCATTTCTTGTTTGGATTTTATGTAACAACCCGCACTGCAGTGTGACAGAGCTGTAAAAAGTCTAAGATGTCTGCAAAGCAGCTTTAATTTGACACATCAAAGAACTCTCATCAGTTTTTCCCAGAGCTTGTTTTGCATAAATTGGAGCCAAAGAGATGTGTAACGCTTCCAGAGGGATAAACTAGCAATATTTTCTGCACAGCTGCACATAAGTTCTAACAGTGTGGTCACAATTATCTGAATACCAGACAAGTGGAGCCATTAAGGCTTTATAGATTCACTTTCCTGATCAGTTATTCCTGCTATTTCATCTGTAGGCTCATCTACACCAATCACAAACGAGGATTTACGAGCAGTGACCAATGACATCAGCAACACTTCACACCGCATCGTAACATTCAGTGTGATTCGGCATCCTAAACTGGGGCGCCTGGTGACGAGGCAGCCCGACAACTCCACTGTAGACATCTCAACTTTCACACAAGACATGGTGAGTGGAAAACCGAAGAACATATAAGAACTTCACATTTTATACTAGTACAGCTAAAAGCAAAATACAAGGATGTGAACTGGTTTAAGATGAAACAATAGGGTTCTTCCATTCATGTGATAAGTTGCCACTTGGATATTATTAATAATTTATAGTCTGCATCCCTACTCAGGAAATTTACTTTGAGCTTCTTTTGCTGAATGGAACATATAAGGCTTTATGTATTATCTTGACAGACTAAAGATCTGACAGGGTAAAAGCTGTGCTTTAGAGCTGTACTTTATTTACTGCTGAGTGAAGAAGATTTAAATAAATAATGGAGTCTTGTACATACATAAGCTCTTTTATATTGTTGAAGGATAATTTTGGCCACTGGACTGTTTATATAGTTTAGAGCATCAGTTCACTTTAGGGTGGCCTTTCTGCAGGCTGATTGTTGTGAAATCTGTTTAAGTTATTAATTTATTTTGTGAATTTGTGGTTTGCCTGAGGATCTGTGGTATTTATGTTCCTCAGGTGGACAGGAAAGTGGTTTGGTACATTCAAAACCCCATAGAGTCAGTGGGCTGGGAAGCCATGGACTCCATGACCTTCTCTGTGGCATCACCACCTTCCTCTCTGGACGGCCAGACTTTCAAAATAGACATTTCCTACGAAAATACTGGACCTGAACACAACACAGTCCTGCTTGCAAACACAGGTATGAGCAAGAGTGTACAGACATGCAGAAAGTTGTGTTTCATTGTCAGCTGGATGCTAATGTTATAATACTAGTAATGCTCATAGTAAAAACATACTGATGAAGAGCAGGTATGATGTTTACTGGGTTAACCATTGTAGTTAATCGAGGAAGCCTTTTATGTTACAAATGCTAATGTTAGCACCTCAGAGCTACATAAGTACAGTAAGTGTTTGAAAAATCTTGCAATTCAGCATTAAGACTTTTTTTTATTACAAACTACTTGTGCCTTTAGAAATCTTCTGAATACTGCGTGTACCCAACCAGTCATACATATTTAGCACCACAAGGCCCATCTCAAAAGTTCCTGTTCTTCCTGAAAGTATTATATTTATACAGGAATATTTGGGAGGTAAAATAAAGTTGCTGTGACTTCATTAAGTGGATACGCACTGAGTAGCTTCAAAAGTACCTAGCCCCCTTGGGAAAATTAATGTGGTGAAAGCACATAATGGAAATTCTGTTCATTGATGGATAGCCCCTTGAGATAAACCATCTCGTTTTCGTGGGGGTCCAAGACAAAAAACACCTAACAGTACAGTGTGATGAAGACACAGTCACGCACAACATACACACATAAAGGCTTTCACCCACCCCTCCGACTTTATGTTGCATGCCAAGCCACTAGCATTGGTAAAAACAGAAGACCTTGTTCTGCTTTAGTTTTTATTACTTGTCTAACAATGTTTTTCACTGGTAATGAAGTCAATGGTTGCTTGGTTCTAGGTGCTGGAGTAACAGAAGGGGAGAGTGTCGTAATTGATGAATCCAAGTTGGATGCCTCCAACCTGATGTCGAAGCTGCCGACCATTCAGCGGAGCAGCCATGAGGTCTGGTTCCAGGTGACCTCACTGCCTCAGCATGGTGTTATAGTGGTGGGCGAGAGAAACCTCACCAAGGAGAAACCTAACTTCTCCCAGTTCATCATTAACAAATATGGAATCACGTACAAGCACGACAACTCAGAGACAACCGATGATTCTTTTGTATTTAGTGCATGGATAAATCCTAAGGGCAAAACAGCACAACGCCCTGAAGATGACTTTGATGTTGTTGAGGAGCGTTTTAACATTACAGTCACACCTGTAAATGATCAGCCGCCTTTGCTTAAAACCAAAGCTCCAAGTCTGAGGGTGGTGCAAGGGATACAATAGCCCTCAGGCCTGAAAATCTCAAAGTTGAAGACTTAGACAATCCTCCTGATGATATTAAATTCTCTGTGATAAGTAAGCCAAACAATGGTTATCTAGCTTTTAAGGGGAAGTTGAATGAGTCGGTAGTGAGCTTCACCCAAGCCCAAATCAATAATGGAAGTATCTTTTTCATCCATGATGGAAGCTCTGTCTCAGGGGTGTTCTACTTCAGTGTGACAGATGGCCATCATAAACCAATTTATAAACTTTTCAACCTCGAAGTGGCAGAAATCACAATTTCTGTGGTCAACAACACTGGATTGACACTAGAGCAAGGCAAGACTTCAGTATCACTGACCCAGGACAACCTTGATGCTAATACAAATGGGAAAAACAAAACTATTTACTACCAGATTACAAGGCCTCCAAACTTTGGTAAACTTCTAAAGGACAACCAAGCGGTTATGCAGTTTGATCAGGAGGATCTTCAGACTGGAAGCTTGTCCTACCATATGATCTCCCTGTCCTCTGCAGAGGACAGCTTTGAGTTCACTGCCTTCACTTCAGAGGCAAATATGACCGACCAAGTACTCAATATAACTGTTCGACCTTTGATCCAGGTTGCTAAAGGTTTGAAGATTCCAAATGGAATTGATGTGAAACTCGACACTCATTTTCTTAACGCCTCGGACCTTGCGAAAATCAGTAACAGTGACCCAGTATTTCAAATTGTCTCCCATCCCAAGTGTGGGAAGATGATTCGGACAAAACCAAAATTGTCCAGGAAAGCTGTTCCAGTTGAGTCCTTCACCTTTCAGGAGGTGATGCAGGGAAAGGTAGCCTTCAAACTTGATGCAAACATTACTGGAGTTCAAGAGCTAAATGACTCATTGGTGTTTGTGTTGACAGCCGATAACGTCCAACCTGCTAAAGGGGAGTTCCACTTTACAGTTGTTCCGTATGATCCAGCACTTTTTCCAACAATAAAGAGTCCTGTGCCAACAACATCAACTGCTCCACAGACACCAATGCAGACTTCGAGAAATGGAACTGCTTCACCATTTATGTCTACAGCTTTCTTTACCACACAGCAACCAAGCCAAAACCACCAAAAGTTCAAGGCACGCAACCGCTGGGGAAACGCTAACAGAACTAGCATTTTCAGTACAACTCTTGGCAAAACAACTCGTGGACCAGAAGATTTTCCCTTTAGGAACACACCAGTCCGTGTCGAGTCCTACCCTAAAAAAACGTCCAGTCCACTCCTGGTTATCTTACCCCTGCTGGCCCTGCTGCTGCTCGTAATCATCTTTGTAGTATTGGTCGTCTTTCTTCGACACCATAGGGAAAGGAAGCAAAGCACTGCTACACCAAATGAGCAAACCTCCAGTGGTCTTCCAAACAGTCAGTCCTACCAGGGTCAACCCCAGAGGAGCACAGCAGTTCCCACAGTGACTGTTACTCCATTAAACCACACTTGTCCCGGTAGCCCTGTTTTTGATCGTCTATCACCAGTTAATCAGAGCTCAGCCTATAACACTATTGATTCAAATGTGCTTGTGAGTTCGTGGAGTAGTGGTTCCCCTGCTTCATCGTCCCAAATCATTCACAGCGCCACTCCTACTCTGCAGAAGAATCAGTACTGGGTATGATCCTGCATAAACCAGCTTTGAGCTTTATGTGTTTGAAAATACTGTTACAGGTTTTGATACCAGATTAAAGTGTTAAGAACTTTGATGAAACAATAATCAGTTGCTGGTTTCTATCTTAAAGCTGCATTAATCTATATTTTTGTATCAAAACTAGATAAATTACAGTATTTTTTTAAGGTTTTGGGTATTCACTTGTAATGAGGAACAAATAGGTATCACCCCACCTCTGCAGCTTTACAGAGCTTTTAGCCTACTTTAGCTAGTTTTTTTTGGTTTATAGCGTTTTACTCTATGGCTCAGTATCACCTATGTTGGTCAAACATTTCATTTGAAGCAGGAGCAAACTGTATACAAATGACAACCAGGCAAAGTTTCAAAACAAAAACAGTTTAGTTACCTGACTGCTGAGGTAGTTTGTCAAGAGTTGGTGGAGTCTTAGCCAGAGCTCAGATGTCACCGTATTTCCAGAAGCACAGCTCCAAGGGTATGATGATGTTGATGTTTGTCAGCTGGAGTAATTAAGCATTTATTGTTAAGTTTTGTAATAACAATTTTATTTGACCACAATACTGTTCAGTGAAGCCCTTGATTGAAGCAAGTTTTCTTTACCCCCTAGTGGCCTAAAACTGGTTAATGCAGCTTTAAGGATGAATAAATAAAAACTGTGGCCAAAGGCCATTGCAATACATTAACCATCATTTAGACAGCTTTGGGTAAACACTGGTTTACAATCCAACACCAAGCACTGCTGTATATTTAGTTGGTGAGACAGACTTTGGAAATGTTGCTAAACAGCTACCATTATGGTAAAGTATGACCTGTGTTTTGTGCCTAATGTGTGTTTAATTGCTCAAACTGTCATCTTGTCCTTATGCACGTTGAAGTCTCTATCAGTTATGGTCATAAGATGATGATGCTTATAACAGCTCGACACTGTGAATTACTAAGACTGACACTGGCACAAAGATGTATCGTCTAAGGATTTCTATTGATTGTGCATATTTTTTTATTGCTGTTATGTATTATATATTATAACATAGCAACTTTTATAAACTCAGGTATTTTGTTAACTGCCATATATGTACATGTTACCTTAATGAAGGGTTGCATGTGTTATGAATAATTAAGGTCTTTGTCTAACATTACCAGACACAATATTTTAAAATCTTAACATCTGTCTGAAATGCTTCACAGTATTGCTGTTTCTTTAAATGGAACTCTAAAAATGGCTGGTGTTGTACCACTGTTAAAACATTTGGTTTAATCACCCAGATGAAATCACACTGGTTAAAATGTAAGCACTGTTTTTCAATTGTTTTTTTAAAATATTTTATCATTCACAGTATTTATATACTTTAAAAATTGTGCACAAAAAATTGCTTTCTCATACCAACTCTCACCTGAATGATTTGAAATCAAATTGTAAGCATATACTGTACTATTATCAGTTTCACCTACAGAATAGATCTGTTTGTCCAACCACTGTAGAGCGGACCACCCTATAATAATAATGTTTTAAATACAGGACAGGAATGAATTACCTTGTGTGGTGAGCCAATAATTCTCTAGCAGTTGGGCCAGTTGTTGGTTTCTGCGACAAAGAGCTCATGTATTTGAATACTGACAAGACACTGAAAATGCTTTCCCCTGAAACGATAGCTGGTATTTATTATAATTACTAAAACTAATTATAGCACTGGGTAACTTGCATCCTTGGATTCCTCCAATTATCTATCGTAAGGTCTTGGTTGTTTGACACTGTAATCATGTATCTACTGTAAATTAAGGTACCTTATTGACTGACCTTTTCAACAGGCTATGGGAGATACGGTCACAAAAAATACTGTAAACTTAAAGAAATAACTTTGTACGAAAGAGAAGTGTCCAATCACTGTGTATTCCAGTCTCATCTGAAACTTGCTGTGGAACAAAAGTGTTGTATTTATTTATACCATATTTTTAATAAACCACTTTCAAAATGTTGGAAAGAAATTCATGTCTGCCTTTATAAATCAGCATAATCTCACAAAGTGTGTCGTATGACCTGTGTGGTGTTTTCTTCAGCCCATTCCTCATCTTGCAAGATTTAATAGTATCCAAACTGTCCCTATTTCTTCCCCTCCAAAGAGTGTTTTTTCCGATCACTATAATTTATACAGTAGTTGCAGCCTCTTAACAAAAGATACACTGCACCAAAGGACCCATTGTAAAAAGATTAATTATCACCATTACCTCTCCCAGTTCCCTGCAATTACTTCAATTGTAGTTTCCAACATCGAAAAGCACTTAAATCAGCGGGACTTTGTCACATAACTTACAAAAGATGTTTTGTGTTTCCCAGCTCAGTAGGAAATGTGTTTTTGTCGGCACAAATGTCCTCTGAAAATCTCATTTAAACTGGTAATATGATTTGGAAATGCACAGCATTCCTTTTGTGCAGCTGTGAGTCAGTCCACATGACTGATGATACAATGTCAAGGAAGCAATTAGTTGTTTTCCTGATCTCAAACACACAACATGTTATCAACTACAAGGGTGTATGTCACATGTGCAAAGGTTAGTTAAAGATTGTAATCAAAAATGCAGCTCAGGATCTGAAGACAGTTCTTTGCTTTGTTGACAGTAAGTGAGCCTATAGGAATGGTGAGAAATGGCATCACATGCAAGTTGCAAAGTTAGCGCAATGATGTCAAGGCAGACTCCACCAACAAGGACCTCACTGGGGAAGTGTTTTTAACCAGAACTATGTCATTTATTTCAAGGAATTTCCAACAATACTCAAGACTGAACATCATCGAAATGTTCATTCTTTCATTATTGCAGAAATGTTCAGAGCAGAGTCAGATGTGTGACACAGTTCAGAGAAAGATGAACTGGAACCTCAAAATGAGCAGCAAAACCAACATATTTCTTTGACAGTGACCAGACAAGCATTCTAAAGATAAAGTGCTTAATCACAATTTCCTTTTTCCCATGCCACAAATTTTTTTTTTTTTTTGGGTCAATTCAGAGTCACAATCAACTGTACTGGACTATTAAACTATTTAACCTAATAAAAGTTTGGTTCCAGCAGTAAGCCTGCAAGTATCTAGAACAAATGTACTAATGGTGTACCAATAAAGGTACCAATAGACACCCAGTTAAACAAAGAAAAGCTAACATGGCTGCATTTGTAGCCCTTAAGGCTATTTAAGCCGCTGTAACAAAGCTGGCTTTAAATATTTGCTTTGACACAAATGTGACACGATTGTGAATTTATAATATTAGTTCTACTGCTTTTTAACTATAAATGATGTAATTGCTATTAGCACCTCGATGTGCAGCATCGAAAAAAGGAATCTGGTAGAATGATTTTGACAGTGCTGTGTCATGCTAGCAATGTTTCATTGAAACTGCTAATTAACCGAGTGAATCAGCGCCCATTTGCCAATATTTTCAGGGATTTAAACTGATCATGGTCATGGTTGTATTCAAATTGAATACCATGATCAGTTTACATCTGTCTGTTTGAGAGGTTAAAGTTACAATCTAGCTTATAAATGTGAAAAACCACGGCACTCTCCTAAGTAAAACACCTTTATTAAATCGACTATTTCATTAGAAGGTTTAAAAAAACAACGGCTAGCAGTGAAGAAAATATATTTTTCAATGTTTTTAGACTGGGATGAAGATAAATAACAAAAGTTTAACCACCAGTATGTGAAAGGGTTTGTCAAATATTGATGTAAATGGACTTGAGCTTGTATAACACTATTCTAGTCGCCTGAGCACTCAAAGTGAGTTTTACACCGCATGTCCACCTACCCATTCACACCTATTCTCAAACATCAGAACTAATCCATTCATACACATTCATACACATTCATACGCCACCGACGAAGCAACAGGAGCAATTTGGAGTTAAGTGTCTTACTCAACGACGCATCGAACATGTTGCTGCAGGAGCTGGGGATCGAACCTCCGACCTTCGAGAGACGACCGACTCTACCAACTGAGCCACATCCGATGTTAGGGAGACAGATTATCTCAAAGTATCTCAGGATTCAAATCATCCGCCCACTCCTCCACACATTCACAAATATAAAGAGACAGACCTATTTAAACGTTTCTTGATACATCACCAACCTAAATCCAGCCCTACTCCAACTTGATCAAACCACTATATTCTTTATTTGTGGCCTCAGCTACTCTGCTTCAATAATTCATCAAACTAAGTGTTGATGTGACATCATGCACACATGTAAAAACATGCAAATTTATAGCCCATCCAACACAGTTACACATGCTGAGTTTGCCTGTTTGTGTTCAGTGTTTGTGTTTAAAACGACTGCGCTACATCTGAAATACGATTATCCAGAGACAAGAGCAGGCCAGCTCACGCTCTATTTATCCACTGAATTCTTGTGCAAAGATGCATGGTTTGTTTTGTGTGTCAAAGCAAATTTATGGTTCTGGTCTGGTTGAACACAACAAGATGGAAGACCGGGTGGATATACAGAGACACAGATGAAGAAACTCAGATACAAATCTACACACAGTGTTAAGAATTCACTTTAAAATACTTTGTGGTTCTTCCACACCACACTCACAAAGTAAGACTCTCTCTGTTTAAGTTCTGCATTACACAAAGATAGAGGTACACATGATCGGATTAAACACAGTTTACAATCTTGTCCAAATGGATTCTCTGCTAACTATTCTGCTAAGTAATTAGGATTCATTTTCTGTGGACCCATGATGTTTATGTAAAAAAAAAAACTAAAAAAAACATGCTAACTTAGTTTCTTTGAGTCTAGGAAAGTTGAGAATTTTCACAGAGTAAGTGGAATATTTGACCTGCTGGTGACAGGTCAATATGTTCAGGAATTACCAAAGATGTAGGAACTAATCCTCAGGGCACCATGAATGGCTGCATAAAGTTTCATATCAATCTTTCCAACTGTTTTTGAGATACTTCAGTCTGGACCACATAGGTTGACCTGACAGAATACATGACAAACATACCCTCAATTTAAATCCCACAGGTCTATGGAAAGGCTTATCATGATGAACCACATCGCTACTGATGGCATATTGTGTAGGTGTGTGTCATGATGTAACATGTAAATGTCTCAGTGCTAATCTAAGATCTCTGTTAGCTTTGTGTGACAACTGTTACAGAGCAGATCTGGAGCATGGCCTGTTATCAGTTTGAACTTTAACATCAGTGATTAAAGATGTAATTTCCTGCTTATGCAGTGACAGATTATTTTAATTATTATTTTTAAACATTCATTTATTTCAATGATTTTATCAAGTATTATCACTAGAACATGTCCTCCTGATTTAAAAAAAAATGCACTATTTTATCCTGTTGGCTTGTGTCATTCTGTGATGAAGGACATACATGTAAACTATGTACATTCAAATTGGCTCATGACAGGAACTCAGCCCTTACGCTGAAGGGTTAATGAGACTATGAGAGATCTGTACTTCCATGAACAAAAGTCAGACTATATCCTCAAAAGGAGGAAGCTGCTGTTAAGCAAAGCTGACATTAGAGTACTAAGAGTTACAAAATGTAGATGTCTGGCAGGAAACGGTCACATGCTGGACACCGAGAGCAGTGACTTCAAAGTATCATTACGCGACATGTCTGGATGTTAGCTCTGGACTTTTAACACACTTTCAGTCCAGCCTTTTCATTTTGACACTGACATTCAACATTTTGCAGATAATACAGCTAATTTCCCAGCTTTTGTGTGAGGGAATCCAAGAAAGAGTCAGAGAGACATTATTAGTCAGGTTAAGTTATTTCTCTAAGACAGGAGTGGGCAACTGGCGACCCATCAACCCTAAACGTGGCCCTCAGGTCAACTTTTGCATATCAATTAATTGGAAACATGAAGAAAACATGACAAAATCTGCCAGAAATATGTCCATGATAATATTTGATCACTGGCATATGTTGAGTTAAATTTGAGACATAATCGACTGTAATCGTTTTTGTATCCTACAATTTGGCCCCTCTGGCAGTGAGAATTAAATGAATGTGGCCCTTGCTGTGACCAAAGATATCATAGGGATAATTATAATTGAATGGTTGGTTATTATGGAGCAATAACAAAAACTCCCTGAAAGATGAGACTTAGGGACATGGGTTTTCCAGTTTGGGAAAATGTACAATTACGCTATTCAGTGATTTATTAGCGAGAGTAATGTACACCTTCCTCTCGGCCTATTTATCAACATTTAAAGAGTGACAAGACAGTGTCGAGGTTACTTTTGTGAGTGAGTTAGAGACAAGTTAAGCAGAAAGTATAATGCCATCTCCAACTGAAATAGTGTTTTTTTCTCTACCTACCTTTTCCTCCGTATGTTGATGTGTGAATTATTTGGTGTAAGTAAAAGAGAATGTGACGTCAGATGTTGCTTTCTCTCATGTGGTTTATTGGTCCCTAATTGGTGTATAACACAAAATTGTAGTTCTTTTAAGCTTTAAATGGGTCTTAAGTTTAATGGAGAAGTAGGCTACAGTAATAGTATTTGTGCGGGGTTTGGTTTGGGCCGTGGTAGAGGAGCTCACAGTGATATCTTTTCATGAAGCCTAGAAGTCTTGGTGATGCTCCTGCTTAGGGAAACAATGCTTGTTTGGTTCAACAGGGTTTCATTCTTTTCAGAGAAACCCAGATGGTTAATTGAATCTCCGAAACCACCAAGACTTTTTTGCTTTCAAAAAAAGACTCCCCCTTTTTCCTTATAAACTATCACAAGAATTACAACAAAGTGTCATTAAGTTATCCATAAAATCTAATCAAGGCGTGTTAAATACTGCAGAGGGTTTCAGAATGTAGTGTGCCCCTGTTGAAAGTCATGGTGGTTAAAAACACTTGTGCATACGTTGATGTAAAGCAAACCCCCAGTGGAATCTATAGCTTTGATTTCTAAAGGCTCTTTAGTCATGTGGCATCAGTATCACAGGCTGATTTTTTTTTTTCAAAACTAAACTTGGTCCTGCT